TTGACGTGGTCCACAGCCTTCTGGGTACCTGCGGACAAAGACAGATGTCAGCAGCTCTCCTGCAGACAGTTTTGCGTCTCACCTGTCCTCATCTGCTTCCTCCTACCTTTGCCCAGGTAACGGCTCTTGTCTCCATCACGGAGCTCCAGGGCCTCATGGACTCCAGTGGAGGCCCCGCTAGGGACGGCAGCCCTGAAGAGACCTGAGACATTGTGTGACCTCAGTTCCATGGCCTTGAAGGACATGTGGGACACAATGTAGAAGGTGCTGCTACTCACCTTTTGCTGTCCATAGGTCCACCTCCACGGTGGGGTTTCCTCTGGAATCCAGAATCTCACGAGCGTGAATCTTGGTGATAGACATCCTGACTAAGAGACACAGGGGGACACAGGAAAGGGACAGAGCTTTAAATCCAAGGCAGCTGTCTGAGGTGTCCACACACTCTGATCCAGTTAATCCAGAATGAGCTCTGTCATCTGGTCCGTGAGGAATCCAAGAGATTAACCAGGTGGGAACCTTGAAACAGAATCCTGCTCAGGACAAACAGACCAGAAGCAGAGACATGAATGGAAGACCGGCTGTCCTTTGAGTCCTAAAACTAGAGTCTACTCTGTCCTTTAAAAGGGGGGACTCTGTCCTTTGCTCTACATTGGACCCTGATCCTGGACCATCTGAGCACCGTGGGACCACCCCCCAACCACAGCAGATTTAGACCCTGTCTGATTGACCTGGACTCAGTGGGACCGTGTCCCTGCAGCGGTGACGACCCAAACACAGACTGATTCACAGATGGTGCGGTCTGTTTGTTTTGTGCTTCAAAGACCTTTGAGGTGAAAGGACTCGTCCTCGGTCAGTGCGTGATCAGATGTGTGTGTCTGTGTGTGACAGACCTGCAGCAGGGATCCTGTTTAACGCCATGGCGGCACCCTGAAGGCTCTTTGCTGCAGCAATCCCCGCCCACCCTGCTGAACAGCCAATGAGGGCTGGTCAGCAGCTGACTGGGAGGAGGAATCCACTGAGGGGGGGGGGGGGGGGCACTCAGATATTTTTATACTGCAGTAGGAGGAGCTGCTGACCTTTTAGTGGACCTTTATGAGGAGGTCAGGGTTAGAAACGCCAGCAGAACCATCTGACATTTGAAGGCATCTGAGAGCCGATAGCAGGATGATCCTTCAAAGTAAAGAGTGTCATCCAGGAACCAGGAACGGTCCTCTGGACCTGCAGCAAAAGTTCTGGAGGACAGATCCTCCTGAGGTGATACTGCAGGACAGCTGACGCCCTGATGCTTCCTTTAGTGTCAGGAGGCGGAGCCTGGCGGTATTTGTGGGTCAGGCCTGCAGAACAACAGCTGAGCTCCTGAAGAGCACTTGAGACCACCGATGGCCTTTACAGACACCCTCCCCCCAGGGGACAGGCCCCCACTCCAGCTTTAAGGTCAACTATTGCAGATTGTGCCAGAATTTTAGCGTTTTTTACATCCAAACAGAAACATTTCGCAGTGAGTTGAAGAAGGAAAGTTCTCCATGAGGTGAAGAAGGTAGCAGAGCAGAAACATCTGCAGCAGCTTCCAGGAGAACTCCTCCTTCACTGTGCAGGTTTGCACTTATGATGCTGCAGACGAATTATATATATATAAAGAAAGCAGGATCCGTAGTTATATACAATGTTAGACATACTATGCTGTATATACGCAGTAGGCTGTGCGTTAATGACAGGAGGTCTGGAGATGCTGATGCAGAAGTTACACCAACGTAGCTTCCCTCCAACTGGAACCTGGATGAGGGTCCTGCTGAGGGGAACCTCCACCAGCTTTGAGCTGCTTCAGCACCCCCCCCCCCCCACCCCCCAGCCCCCCTCTGTGATGTCACTCAATGAGTGTTTCTGAGTTCTGATAGAACCCGGTAAACCAGAACCAGCAGGCAGGTTCTGTCCCCCTGAGGTTTAGTTCCCCCTAAATGAACCTGGGTTAACCTGTGGTTTGGACCTCGGATCTGACCCGGAACGGCCCCTCCAGCCATCCTGAGTGGGTCCCTGTGTGTGTTTTGTGACTCGGTGGGTGTATCAGTCTGTGGACTTTGTGCTCCTCCTGCTGTTTGTCAGATTTCCACTCTGTGACCTTCAGCGCGCTCGCAGTCAGACTGCGGCTGGTTCCAGATCCAAATCAACCAGAAACTCACACACCCAAAAACACAAACCATCTAGAACAAAAGTTTGGTTAAATAAGTGCTCTTTCAAAATAAAAGCCTGCTGGTAGGCGGTGTGACCGAAGCAGTTTGAGCTGGTAGGAACCAGGAAGTGACTGGCCGACAGTCTCTGAGCGTTCAGGAGGTTTGGTGGGACTCACCTGAGAGGCGAAGCTCTAAGAAGAGAGGAAGGGGTCGTCTCGGGCCGTCTGACTGTCCCTCTGTCCGTCTGACTGACGTGGAAAGTGTCTGTCCTTGTCTCTGAGGGTTTTTTATAGCTGCGTGGTGCAGAGGGAGGAGGGGCAGGAAGGAGAGGCAGGGAGTGTCTGACTGTAGCAGGAGAAGCAGAACCTGAAAGCCTCCAGCAGGAGGCTCTGCTGGAAGCTCTCTATCTGCTGGAAGATCTCTATCTGCTGGAGGATCTCTATCTGCTGGAGGATCTCCTCTGGCCTCCATGGTTCCTCCTCATCAGTTCCAGCTGTTTCAGAGGATCATTAAAGTCTGACAGCAACATTAAACAGCCTGTTGCTGAACCCGTAATCCAGCTTATCAAGTCTAACAGTCACCATGTTTGGGATTGTTTCCCGCAGTACCTTTCCCCTCCACCGTGTTCCTGCAGCTGAACTTTGCAGACAGTCCCTAAAGTCAGAAAGGTTAAAGTTCACCAGCAGGAGTAACCTGAAGCTGGGTCAGCATTCGCTGCAAAGGGCAGAACCCAGAGAGTCCGTCCCTCACATTTTACCCTTTAGTCTCACCTTTAGGCGTCCCTCAGCCTGGAGCCTCGCTGCTGGATAAATATATCTGTGGACTAATCAAAGTACTATAGTACCACAGGACAGCTTAAGGTGGTTCAGCTGCAAAAGTACTCTAGTATCGTTTTGTAGTCAGCGGACAGAAGCTGGGAGACCTCTAGAAATACTAAATGTAGATCTCCTGCAGGACATTTAGTAGTACTCTGCTGCTGTATGTAGTACTGCTAAAGTAGAAGCTAAAGGACTAAATGTAGTACTATGGTCCTGATCTTCAGAGATCCGCCCATATCTCTATGTCTGCATCAGTGGTTGTTTCTGACAGTCCAAGCCCGTTTCCATGACCACAGGATACGTTACTATCCCTTATACTGATTGGAAACTATGACATCAGATAAAAACTAAAGTAACTAAAAAAGGATAAAAGCAGCGGCTCCTTTTAGGTAATAAATAGTAATGTTTGTATATTCTAGAGCCATAGATCTGCACGGTTTGGTGAGTAGATTCTATTCTGCAGAAAGATAAAAACAGCCTCTAGTTTACTGGAAAAAACACACTTTGATACTTCTGATCTGCTGCGAGTACTCTGACCTACTGTAGTACTGCTGCTACAGTACTACAGTACTACAGT